TCTGGAAGAGAGAGAGAGAGAGAGAGAGAGAGAGAGTATTGAATATATTAACTATAGATAAATAGCCACTTTTCGGTTGACGTGTGTTTTCTACCGATGATGAAAGTGATGATAATTTTTTATGTTTGAAAATTTTGTTTTAAAATTAACTATACCTTAGAATTTATAAGTATTTACTTATGGGTCTCTCGATATGTATTGACAACAAATTTATGCGTGAAAATATTTCAAGGTTTTAAATAAAATTAAGTTTTTAAATATCAATTCAACACTTTTTTCTCTGAAAATAATTCATTTAATTTTAAATAAATCTCTTTTTCAATGAATTATTGGCTTTAGTTTTGTTGAAATTTGCAATTAATTTCACCATAAAATCCGTGATTGACTGAAGGATTTTGATGTCCGGTATTTGCATATATTATCATTGATTTATTATCACTATTTCAAATGTATGGCGAATTTACATTGAAATCATTAGTAAAATCTGTTTTGTAAAGATAGTCAGTCAGCGAAACAGACAGACAGACCATATATTTAATCATCTATTTATAGGACATGTATTTCAACTGTAATTTATAGGTATTTATGGACTGCAAAAGTGGGACAACACGTAGAGATCGGGAAAATACAAGTATTTATTTCGCAGTCTATTATTCATTAGATAACTATTTTTGAAAGTTTGAAAACAAAAGTTTTTAGACATGTTTTGTCCTAAAAATATCTACAAAAATAAATTTTATATTTTCTCCACAAGTGTTGCGATAAAATCCATAGAAATAACAAAAAATAAAAATTTTCAATTAAATTTTTAACGATAAAAACTTTTTATTTTCGGATATTTTTTGTTGTTTTTGTTCAACATATTTGTTATCAACATTTTTACCTATTTTTTGTACAAAACCTACTGTCCGTCCCATACAATGCCAATTATAATCAAGGTTTGTATGTATTTATTGTGAGTTCCTGTAATGTATGGTAAAATACTTCATACAATACTTACCATAAGTATATTTGTATAACAAAAATATGCGGTTATTTCTTGGGGTTTGTTAAACACATACGTATATAATGTACAAGTATTTTGTCTTATTATACATTGCATTCATTATAAGTGTTTTTATATTATAGTTTTAATTCAAGGCCTCAATTAGAGTGAATTAAATTATATAATGAACGCCAAAATGTAAATACAATTTTCCTGATATATATTCAATACGTTTTCAATGCTTTTGTATTTTATTTTATGTTTTCAATTGTATTATTGAATTAAAATACTGTATAATTATTTTTCTTCGAAACACTCGACAAACTCTCTCTCTCTCTCTCTCTCTCTCTCTCTCTCTCNTATTTTTGTAGATATTTTTAGGACAAAACATGTCTAAAAACTTTTGTTTTCAAACTTTCAAAAATAGTTATCTAATGAATAATAGACTGCGAAATAAATACTTGTATTTTCCCGATCTCTCTCTCTCTCATTAATTGACATTAAATTTGTTAAATATCTATAAAATCTTCACATAAATAACAAACAGTTGTTGAATAAAAAATATTTTTTCGCAGAAAATATCACTCAAAATGAAATGAAAATACAATTCAAGAATAAAATAAACACAAATCTAACGCAAGAAAATCTATTTGAAATGATTGACAATATTCAACACATACTGTCAAATACTAACTCAAAAAATCAACACAGTTATTGTTGATAAAATCACAATTAATAAACAATATCTATGCATACATAGGATATAAGTTATATCATATAACAAATATTAATATTATGTACTGATAAGTAATTTTAAAAAAGAAAAAAAAGTTGGTTTGGATCTCCCCGACGGGGAATTGAACCCCGGTCTCCCGCGTGACAGGCGGGGATACTGACCACTATACTATCGAGGATCGCATACATTACACATCACTTAATTGGCAACACAAGCATACAATACTATGTCGTACTGTAATGTGTAATGCAGTGGTACTAAAGCTGAGAGTGTGACTACAGTGGCGCCCCCTTAAGCAGTGAGCTATACATTGAATACTGTATTGAATTTGGTATATATCTCAATGATATATTGATTTGCATTCAATTACAATTGATTAAATGCTTAATTTTAATTAAACCGTTGTTGAGCATGGTGGTTTAATTGAATTCTAATTATTTATATGCTTTATTCATAATAATAGCATTTATAAAATTGTTTATATTATTTTAAGCATGATATTCTATATAATTAACTTTATACCGGTAATATATTAATTAAACTTGTCAACAATTACCTAATTAATTTGTAAAATAATTAATTTGTAATTAATTTGTAAAATACAACGAATTGATTAATATTATAATAAATTAACGATTAAATGAAATGAGTGCTTATCTCGGATTAAAATTATTTATAATTAATTTAAATGCATTTTTTATGCAAAGTTATGATTTTTTGGATTGGATTTTGACTTATATTCAAAATCTAATAGAAAACATCGAAAATATCTTTTTAATACAATATTTCAGTTTTGCTAATCTAAACATAAAGTATCGATAGTCTAAAAACACTAATAATTAATGAATCAGTCGTTGCAATCGCTGTCTACTTCCTCATCATTTTCATTGTCTTTTTCATCAAAATTAATACCATTTTTGTGACAATAGTATTGTTTCGCCATTTGTTTCAATTTAATGGACATCTTTTTCCCGTCTGTTTGACTAATTTTCTGAACAGACCATCGCTTGTATCCAACAAAATGTGGGGAATGTCGTACTCAACCACTTGTCCCGCATCTAACACCTGATCAGTCAATACATAGACAATGAGTACAACACAAGTGCTGCGAACCCAACCCCCTATCAAACCCTGGCTTACCATCACTTTGTCGGAGTCGATGATAGTGTTGAGTCTGTGGGCAATCGTAATGACAGTACAGTATC